CAACACGGCGACGACGATTTATGCGTAAACCCGATGTCGTAACGGCTTGGCGGGGATAATTTCGCGTTGCGCCGTGACTCCCGGCACGGGAGCGAAAGAGAGAGAGAGAGAGACTCCGATGCATGAATTCGTAATTACAGATCTCCGGGAACGCTACAAAATCAATTCGCGCGCATTATGAGGCGAACCTCGCTCGTTTCTCGCGCGGGTCTCCGCGATCCCGCAGTAACGAACCCGTTCTCGAAGCCGCACGAATTTCGCTCTCGTGACGGCGCGCGAGACGGTCGGGGGGCCGTCGTCGATTTCACCATTCTCATCGAAATTCGTCGTCGGTGAAAACGATACCGGGTATACCTACCCGATCGCGCGCGCTCTGCGCTCCAGGTCGAAAGCGCGCAACCGCGCGCGCGGTTCTCCCGATCGAGAACGTTTCCGGGAAGTGTATCGATCCGACCGTTCGGATAACATTACCGCCGCGGAGATCGTAAAACCGTTAGAGGGAATTAGCCAGAAACCGCACGCACTTTTTTTTCTCAAAGAGGCGTCTACTCGTATATCGAGATATCGTCTGGTCAAACTAAAAGCGATACTCGACGTTATTTTGCTCATTATCTAACAGACATTATCAGTATTGACGAGAAAAAAAAACTTGCGTTTTACGTAACCGCGCAAACAAATATTATTTTTCTCTTCGTTTATAAGCAAAGCTTTACTTGTCCGATATAATCGTTGATAATTAATCCCCACTGGAGGATAATCGTATCGGCATTCTCGAATGTGTTTATCAGAACGTGTACGCCTGTGCGTTAGTACACATGTACATTTCAGCCTCGAAGGCGCATAAACAGTGACATTTAGAATGTCGCGTACAAAACGTAATGATGTTACTCATTGCCGCTAATTGACACGTGGCTGAATTGCACTCGCAAGTTTGTCCGTTCGAGTTTTTGTTTATTCCATTTCAACCGACCGCGATGACCTAAGAAAAAAGAAAAAAAAAATACATTCTACAGCTGCGAAAAGTAGATAAGCGACTCTTTTTCTGTGCTCGTAAAGTTTACACACTTTGCACACTCCACGACTATATTAGCGTTTGCGAATTCGCGAACGAGTGGCGAGGGATGTGTAAAATCCGAGCTCGCGTCACCGGTCGTGAAAACGACAAGAGCCAGGTGATCGCATAAGGTCTATTGCTGCGTATTTGGTAGCTTTTGACAAAATAAACCTTCGATTCGCGTGACGACAAGCTGATGGTAACAAGTACCTGCGAATAAGCTCCGCGTTACGGCTAATCAAAATAAACGAGCAGAACGAATGATTGAGATTCAGCATTGAAATATTCGCAACTCTGTTACGTGAATTGATGTAAAAATTCGAAAGTGATTTAGCAATATCATCTATTTTGGCAATAAGGAGCATAAATGATAACTCCGAAAATTGCTTCCACATCTCGATTAAGCGCCCAAGTTGTTTCGTAACTCTACGTAAGCGAACAAATTTATTTATTTTGCGTTTTGTAAAAGAAATTAAACGAGACCGATACATATTTACGCCACGAGGCAAATACGCCTCCTTCTTGCGTATGTGTGTGGAGATTTTATTTGCAACAAGAATTTTCACGACACGCAATCATTTGTTTTCACAATTATTAACGTGTATATCCATACATGTGGATGTATGTCGCGGAACGAATGTAAATCGTGATCGCCGAGACCTGTCGGTTTTACGCCGTTTCAAGGTTTTCAACGATCGGCATTATTTTTTGAAAAAAATGTCTTTCCCTCTCTCTTCTGTTCCTCTCTCACTCTTTCTCTCTCTCTCTCTCTCTGTCTCGTACCCTAAAACCCTCCTCCGACACACGACGTAGCTGGCATTCACTTTCACCTCTCATAATTTATTCTATACCGAGCGTAAATTGGAGGTATTTGGCATATGTAAGTCGCCAATTTAACAGCGCGATTACGAGATGAGATACATTTTTTGTTTGTCTCTTTTTTGATCTCTCTTTCTCTCTCTTTATCGAGACTACTTTTAACGATGTCGATGTGTATCTTATGCCGCGAGGAATGCACCTCTGCGCGTTAATATCATTCGACTTTCCATTCGCAACATTCTATATGTTCCGGTATGGTATTAAATGTATATTGAATTATTTTTCCGTGTGAGAAAGAAAAAAACGAAGATCGGAATTCCCGGTCGGTCTAGAACGCGCAAATATTTGATATCTTTCGGTTCTCTTTCACAATAAATTCGTGCGCCATTTAAATTCTAAATCCACACGAGTCCTAAATTTTCGTCAATGACCTAAAACCTTCAAATCATCGAAAACGAAGTCCGTAGAGACAAACAAAAACAAAATTGTACAATTTTTAAAAAATAAACCGTGCAACAGAACAAGTACGTTTCTCACAAATTACGAATGGTAAACAGATCCATTAGCCACGAGTTCGAGGAATGATAATTTATACAGTCAGAAGAAAATTTAACCAAGTGTAAGGAAGATAATGGAGGAAAAAAAAAGAGATAAAGAGAGCGATAAAAAGAAATTGTCTTTCTCTCTCTCTTTTGTTGAATTGAAATAAAATATATACAAGCGGTCGTAGCCTCGTTCCTTCAGGTTCGAGTTATTCGAGTTTCGAAGGACAGCTGTACTTCTCGAAAAGAGATACGCCCCTTTTCTTACGGTATACACAGAGAAACCTTGAACCGGCCCTTGGGAGTCTGAGGGAGCTGGCATTCGAAATCTTGCAACGCTTTCTAAACAACTGTGTGCGTTGTACCTTTTATCTCTCTCTCTCTCTCTTTTGTTTACTTTATGTGCGTCCTTAGTCGTAAAGGATGAGATCTTTCATTTAAAAGGCCGGTAGAATTAAATCGCAAGTGGAGAATATCTAATACGATGTACGCTAATCGCGTACTTTTACTTGATCTCAATCTATTTATTTATTTTTGAATCATTTTTTACGCACAGAAAAGATGTGATAATAAATTTACAGTTCTGTGACTCGATTCCGATAATTCTCGTTATTCTAGTTTTTCAGGCTGTGACGCAACAATAATTATTCACTTATCTCAAAATAATAACTTTACTAGTTTCAATAGTCTGATATATGCATGATAAAAAAAAAAATAAATAAAAGTTAAGGAAAGTTGGAATTTTTTTCACTCGCTAATATAAGATATGACAGTACGACCAACAAATTTATTCTATTAACGTAACAACTATCACCCGGTCAATCGAAACGAAATTGCTGCCGATTAATATCCACTTATTTAAATGTGACAACACAGGTATGCGATTTCAAAATGTATTTAAAACGTCTAACAAAACTATTGCTACGCCAAAGACCGAATGAGATTTTCTGCGATTCTGATTATTAGCGCAAATTTATATACTGTCGCGTTAATGCAACGCTAAAATCGATTTTATACGAAATTTTGTTCTTCTCCGTTAATTGTCGAGTGACAGGTGGAAATACGACGAGCCGCGAACAGCGAAATTGTTTTATCGAAATTATTTTCTGGCCGCTCTACATGACCGCGCCGTTGCCGCCGCGACACATATAAACCGCGATTTGAGTCGGAGACAAATTGCAAGTCACGCAATAAATATAAGACAGCAAAAACAAAAACATAAAAGAAAGATGATAAACGTGCAAGACACAATTGTGTACACACGCATTATTTTATTGGCCTCGGAACGACAGCTAGATTCGCGCATTTGACGAGCGATATTTTGACGAAGGCACGCCCCACCATGTACCTCCAATCCACTGTACTTTCGAATCTCTCGTCCGGGAGGTTAGAATCAGCTGATGTAAGAATTTGTAATCGCTTCATGGTCGTTAGACACCACAATTAAAAAAAAAAACAAAAAAAAACAAAAAAAAAAACAAAACAAAAAAAAACACTTGCGCGCGATTTAAACAGCTACAAAAGCCGTAAAAATATAAAGGTCATGGGAGAGACTTTTAATTGTGTTTTAAAAGATCCCCGACTGTGTCGGGTCAACCAAAATGGTTTACGTCCTGTTAAAGATTCTTTCTTTTCTCTACGAAAGACTACGTTTGGCAGACATTTTGCATTCGACGCATGATAAATTGTATTTTTCTATTTTTCAAACCGGAAAAACAAGTTTCTTTCTGAAAGGATCGCCACGGGATGCGAATAACGTTTGAAAATAATAAATGACTCTCAAAATGAGGAACTTTCCCATGAAATACATCGTGCACTGTACAAACGTTGTCTCTTTCTCGGTTATGTATTATAAAATATCAGGGTGAATTTTTCGGACTCGACTCAACTCGTTCTCGCGCTCTCGTATTACGTAATTGCCGTTGTCAAAGCAGCAGACGTGTCGACATCGCGCGACTCGCTCGCTCGCTCGCTCACCCGCTGCTGGCTACAGCTCCAAAAGCGCAAAAAGGGAGACCGCAGACACGGGCGTATCGAATTTTCGGGTTTATCGGCCTCGTGAGTTCACGTGAAAAGTTTCTCGAAAGGCGGTAAATAAAGAAAAAGAAAGAGAGCAGCTGCTCGCCAGGAGAGCCAACGTGGCCCTCTCTCGTGCGCCGATCTCCTTCGGAGGAGAGCGACCGAAAGCAGATGGAGATGAGAGGTGAAGAGAGAGGGAGAGAAAAAGAGAAAAGATCGAGTCCAAAAAGTTTCCAGACGTCGGCAACGAGAAGACGTCGTCGCAACGAAATTTCGCACGAAATATGGCGAGCGCGACACGATGATCGGGTGTCTCGTCTCTCTCTCTCTCTTTCTCTTCTTGGCATGATATTACGACACACGTATGTACGCGCACACATACGCGCCGTCATTCTGCACGCACGTATACATACGCGCGTGTGTCAGTAAGATACGTACATATGTATCCGAGCGCACGTACATTCATGTACACGGAGCGAGTTGTGGCGCGCGCGCGCGCAAGCGACAATCCTAGCCTCTCTAACGCGAGAAGCATGAATCGCAGATACAGAGAAGGAATTACTTACCCGATTCTTGAGGTACTCCTGGATGGCACGAAACGACGAGTCAGTAAGCTTGGTGAAGATTAGCGACTTGTTACGGTTGAAATTACTTTGCGATGATAAACCATACTGGACACCTGGCACCAGCGCCATTTCTTCGTTGCCCATTTCGCCGTGTGCGGGCTTCTCGCTGTCTCGCTCGGTCGCGTCGCTCTATCCCGCTCGCACTTGCGCACCGACTCACGTCCCCGCGGCGCAGCACACAGCTGACGGCCTCCGTTGCGAGCCTCTGCTCTCCGAGCCCCCCTCCCTCCCTGTACCGTGAAGCGGCGCACGACGATAACGCACTTCTCTCGTTACACTCGCGTTCTCTCCCTCTGTTTTCCCTCTCTCTTTTTCTATCTCTATTTTTCTCTATTTATTCTCTCGTCTTTTTCACCGTCAATGAATTTTTACACGCGACGCGAAATTCGCGCCATGCGGCGCGCGTAACGAATCACCGGATAACTACCGAACGACGGAAAATCCTGAACCGGAACTTCCGCGGCGCCGAGATGCTTCTTCGTGCAACGTGTTTTTCCTTCTACACACCTCCGTCTCCGCTACCGCTTCTCGCGCCTTCTTCACACGTCTCCGTATGTTCTCTCCTTTACCCCTCTTTCTCTCTCTCTCCTCTCACGATGCACTCGCGATCAGAGCTGAGACATCCCCCCGGATACGGTATCACTGTATGTGGCAGCAGCACCCCCGTGAACGATGTTAACGACCGAGTTCCACCCTCGAGCGCGTTTTCTCATCAACGCGACTCCCACTCGACCGTCTCATATTATCACGTCGACACGATTCAATTCGAATTTTTCTTGCGATTCAATCCGAGTCGAACGAGAGAGTAGAGCAGCGCTTGTCGTTTCGGCGTAAGACAACACAACTACATACTTTCGAACAGCCACCTGGTAGGCGGGGCTTACGGAAGAGCCGTCGACCAATCGCGTCGCGCGCAACGAATTAACCCGACAGTTGAACCAAGGACGGTCTCTACCGTCCTCACGCGATGACGGTCAACAATCGACTGCCACCCGACTTCGCCCGATTCGCGTCGCGTACCAAAGTCGCCACCTGCCAGCCGCACGCGTAAGCTCTCTGCGCAGATTTCGCGAACGATGCGTTTGCGCAACCGACTGTTATCGAAATATTTTCGACGAAGTTAATCGCTATTTTACACAGGCACAAAGTAACGTTATTAATCGAGTTTGTTGCATATATTAAATAGACTATAGAAAGAATTTCGCATAGAAAACGGATTATTCCTGAATATGGTTTTCGAGTTGGAAAGGATCGTTATTTTTCGTAAATATCAGGCTGCTTCAGAATCCTGACGAGGTGAACACGAAATGTCTGTGAAAATGACTAACGCGCGATTTTTAATCTATTTTCAGGAATTCTTACAATATACCATCGAATAAAGCAAAACGTTGTTTCGAGAATACAACTGGATCGATTGTATGCGTGATGCGTGTGATTGGCTGTTTTCAGGAACCTGAAATGTGTGAAAACGTCTTCAAATATTGTAATATGTCGATAGTAGTAGAACAATAAAAATATATAGCAATTAAATTTTAGAAACATCAATAATTAAATTAAAAATCAGATTTTTTAAGAACATGTTTGTAAAACTTGTATATTCGAAATTTGTATACAGGCTGCGTTTTGTTATTCGCTGCTAGTACTATACTTCACGTCACATGTACTATAGTTTTGGTACCGGCAGTGAATATCGGAACGCAATAACAGTTTCAATCTTGACCGTTTCCGTAGGAATTTTCTCCATAACCACAATTGTTTTGGCAGCAGTGTATTTTGACGGAGATCATCTGTTACGTCTCAAACTAGCGAAAGAGTTTGGTTAGATTTTAGAGCGTAAATTTCTGAAGTTGTTCTTTCGTAAAAATGACCCGTGTACGGGGCATGGCCACTTTTTTAGCTAATCTAGTGTGGGTTAATATAATGATCAATTTAATCACAGATTATCATGGAGGGAAATACGATCCGATTGGGCCATATCCTAGAATACCAGATCAAAACAGGTTAAAGGTAATTTTCTTTCTTCTTATTTGCGATATTTTCATTTTCTTAATCTTACGTTAAATTTTATCAGTGTCAGTTCTTGATTTTACGATGGCTTTAAGTTTTAAAACCTAATAAAAACTTTTAAACTTATTCTCAAACAAGATTTCACACATTGTGTGATGAAAAGAGAGAGAGGGAGGATAGATGGCAAAACAACTGATAAATATTTTTGTGCAATTATACTTGTGTGTAACTTAGTTTTTTCTACCAATAATGAAATTAATATAAAGTGATGGCTTATATTGTAGAAAAAAGTATATTTGTACTAAAATTTTGTTTCTATTTTACTATTTTAATAAAAATTTGCAGTTTGCAAGACAGATTTCAGTCAAAGATATAAATCTCGATCATGAACTAAAAATTATTGTTATTATTTATTATTTCAGGTGGAAATGGAGTTTGCAGAGCAGTTCAAGAAGTTAACCAATTACAAGGCACCAAGAACACTTTTCATTGAGGATGAAATTTAATAAGAAAGAGAACCAAGTCATTGTTGTAATTTAATTGTACAAAGTAAGTGTAAATATCTCTGATAAGAGAAAAGTGCAGCATTGAATGTTATATTATACATTTATTTGTCTTTTAAATTGAGATTCAAGAACGATACTCCACTCGATGACTACACTTATCTGGGTTATTGTTCTTTGTTACTCACAAAATGTACAGTAGGATGGAATAAATAGAGAAAGGAGGGAGTTGCGGACACAACTCTGGTGATAAATAAAATAATCTTAGGCTGGTAATTTCGGATGATTTTATTAGAGTCCCTGGATTACCTTCCCCTGAGGCAGCTTAACCCAATAAGAAAGCCATCCTTTTTCTATCCCACGTATAACGAGACATTTTGTCTTTAGTGTATCGCAAACGCTTTCTCTTTTCATTTCGCTGTCCATTATAAGAGCACCCTTCGGATATGGTACATTGATCGCAAAACGAGGAACGAGAGAACTGTGCGAACGGACCACAGGAGGGAAAATGCGAAATTAAGAATTTGTTTGTTTATCGAACGTGCGGCTCGTTTACGTTGCTCTCAGGACGTTGATCTTGCGTCAACGTTGTTTCGAATTTTACGGTTCTTTACGAATTCGCGGAGGCGCGATAACGGCTACTGATTGTCTCAGTGTACACGTTCTGTTTTTCATTCTCGAAAGATCTCGCGATTTCAGTAATCCGATTTATTAACATTTATTTGTAGTTTTTAAATTGTGCGTGATCCGCGCGTTATTACGTTTCGTCTTGCAATGATTTCTAAAGAAATAATCACTTGAAATTTCTAAGATGTAATCGGTATTAGTAGAATTGGTGAGTTTTCTCAACAAGAAGTGACGAGATTTCTCGATCTTCGTTCCGAGCAACGAGCAGCCGTTACGATTCCTCCTCGCGATGCGAACAACTTTACCACAGAGACAACGCAATTTAAAAACAAAAACAACATTACACCAAAACATGTACAATGATACACAATTGAATGCGCTTAGTTATATATGCAAACGTCAAATCGAATATAACATTTCAAAATATTGTACATTGTTCTTTCATTTGCGTTGGATATTTGTATAGAGCACTTTTTAGCAGCACATTTCTCTTTTTTTCCGCGTGCAAAGAAAAAACTCTCTCTGAAAAACAGTGGGACGTGCACAAATAATTTGCATTACCCACTGTGTCTCTCTTGCTCGAGTTTGCTCGTACACGTTTGCTCTCATCCGCGTCGAGATAAAAGATCAGAACAATAGTCGGAAAAAACACGGCTCTCGGCGTATATCGTAATAGACAACACATGGAGGCACAGACACGCGGAAAAAACGTGCGGAGACATTGGAACTTGTGGGGAATAAATGTGGATATTTGGAAATATAGAAAATCGCGCCATGCTGTCTCGGAATTTTCCTCTCAACGCTTTTCGAAGTTGTTTTCTTTTTTTTTTTCGCGGTTGAAATAATAATTTACACGCGAGAGAGATTGTACACAAGATATTTCCATACGAGAAACATGTCGCTTCTTAAGCGCGTTTTCGCGAACTTTTTTCACAAATTGTAAAAAGAAAATACGCATTTCCGAGGAAAACACGAAGTTGCAAGGAAACACTTTTTTGTGTAACAATTTCTATGTCGTCTTTAATTCACTGTCTCCCGATTTTAAATCGTCATTCACGAACAGAGAAAATGGATAAAAAAACTTCCTACAAGTTTTGGGTTAAATTGAAATCAACTGAAGTGGCCATCGAAATAAAATTGACGAAATTGCTCGAAATGGTTGCGGACTGATTGAGAGAGAAGGTGAGACAGCAACGACGGCTCTCGCAGCCATGACCATGTATATGTATAATGTATATACACACTTGTAAATATGTATATAATATGTGCAGTTTGTATGTGCAATATATTCTGTGGTTATACACGAGATGCGCGATAATATTTTACACGTGCGCAATGTACTGTCAATGCGTGACAATGTGAGAAAAAATTAGATTACAAACAGGTAGTGCGTGTTGGGCACCGGCGAACGGACGCTTCGTGCGGTGTTCGACGCGAGTGTGACTCGCTCTCATCATGACGATGGGGGATGACAATTGTGTATGAACGAGTTCTCGTACGAACAAGTTTCTCCGTCGTCTTCCGACCGAATCGAGATTATTGCGATCGCGAGTTTAAAGTGTCGGTCGTTATTCGAGTATCCGGGAGAGCGGGCAATGACAAATTACACATTCATTGTCAAATCTTGTCGGTATTACCGGTACAATATTTTGAAGAGGCAAATGTATGAGGTAACAATAAGTACACACGTATACAAATGTACATTATTTTAAGAGATTATTGACGCTTTTTTCAACTTTGATTCAAAATTAAATGTTTGCAGTTATGCGCAGTAAATATTTTTGAATATCCGTCAGATATTCAAGTATTCTCCGCGCGAGTAGTCATTGCGTAATTTTTTTTTTTAGAACTGATTTTGATCGAAATTTTTCTCTTTTCCTTGTCATCGCAATAGAACAAACGGGACGTAAAACCGAAAAGCAGCGTTTATTTCGATCGGAATCGATTCCAAAAAATTACATAATACAGCTACCCTGCGTAGTCTAAAACAAAACGGTTGACCTTATTCACCTCTTCGCGATGTCATCATGTATTTATATCGGATGTTACATCACTCGAATAAAGACCGAGCAACGAATCACAGTTAATCAAACGAATGCTGTATACACGCCGGATTTCCACTCGCGTGATTCCGTCACGGTGTATGTATATGTATATGCGTATGTATACGGCCCCGTTATATATATATATAATATTTATATATGTATATATAACTACTATATATACTTAAAGTTAATAATATTTAACTCTTTCTCTCTCTCTTTCTCTCTGATATATGTATATAATGCAATGATATGGCACGTGGCGCGATGATTCAACGATGATATAGCTCTAATAGGTCTTTCTCTTTCGTCTCATTCTCGACCACAACAGTTCCCATTAATTAATTAACTATAATTGTTTAATCTCATTCATCTCGCACACTTTCCCTTCCAACATTTTACGTCGACTTCTTTCACTCGCTCTCGCACTCTCTCCACAGATATATCTCTCACTCTTCTTTCAATTCCATTCGTACGTTCAATTATGAGCAAGTTTTTTTTTTAATTTATCAGTCGGTCGATGAATTAAGAAAAACAACTCGCTCCTTCTCTCTACATATATACAAAAACCTATCGAATAAATAATGAATAATCGAGACTGCGTCCTCATCGCACAATTAGCGCCGGAAAATACAACCGTCTGTGCTCATACTTTATTTATCTAATAATACGAAGATCGCATTCAACGTCGATGTGACACGAGGACGAAACAATCGCATTTACACTAAGTGTGCCGTTAGAATTGGTCATATGATATTTTAGTTCTCACGACTTTAGTGTTAACGGTCAACGAATCACTTGTATAGACTCCTCTCTCTCTTTTTCTCTCCTTCCAGTATATGAAATAAAATTTATTTAGAATAGGAGAAACAGATTCTCACGCGTTCATTTCGTTCTCTCATCTGCCAACTATGTGTGCGGCACGAAGCTTAATGAATGACGCGCGGTATGACTCTTAAAACGAGACAAATGTCACGTGTATGAATCTCTAATCGATACGGTGCGATTGATGCGGGGTATAGTCGACATTCTCCGTGATTGCGTCTTGCTATATATAGGCATATATTGATGTCACCAGGATTGTCAGGATTTCGAGAGGCAACGCGCTTGTCCGAGTATCGCACAATCGCCGTGCCGGTGCAGCGAATTGTCGCCGAGCGAATCGATTACTAGGACAATACTGGTGTTCGCGATCGTCATCCGTGATGATGATGATGATAATGATAATGATGATAATAATGACAATGATGACAATGATTCGCTTTCGGAATGAGAAATGTAAACGACGACGACGGCCCGTGCATTCGGAATAACTCTGATGGTGTGAATGTGGAGTCACACAAGCGCAATCCCGCCCGTGTACGTGTGTTTGTGTAGATTCCGTCGTGTGTACGTACGTGTGTATAATATTATATACATATGTGTGTGTGTGTATGTTTGCATCCAGAATTCACTAGAGAACAACTCGTATGATATCCATGAGCGGACAAACGAAAAATATTATATTGAAGAGGATTTGATACTCTCTGATTAAATAGATATTTTCTCTGTGTTGAATGTGCGTGTTTGATCGGATACAATTGCTTTAAATCACCTTGTACACTTCGCATAGCGGACGATATTGAGATCTCTCTTTCTCTCTCTTATTTTTTCCCGTCCTGCTTTGCTTGAAAAATATTTTCCAACAATAAAGGCGCTCCTCGCAGAACAACGAAGTTGCCTCTCTTTGCGTTTAGACGTAATTACCTAATAAACCACGCAGTGATCCGCGCAAAAGTCACGCGTTCTGCGTCGAGCGATTTGCGCATCGGCCTCCTCGCGCTCTGTGTTTACGTGTGTATGTGTGTGTGGTATGAGTTTTATATTCTTTTTTTTTTTTTAATACTTTTACTTACGAAACACAAGCATTCCGTCTTGTTTTATATATTTATTAGGTACATTACAATACGTGTCATACGATTCTCAAGCATAGTATTGTCAACAGTTGTATATATCTTGTTTTTTTTTCTCCTTAAAGATTCTTCGTTTTTTTTATTAGCGTCATCTCTTACTTCTTTCTCGCTAACGTATCTCGCTTGCGTTCTGGAGTCTGGCTTGAATTTCCGGTCTTGGTTCTCAATGCTTTTGTCCGGCGAGCGGACGCAAAAGTTTGCGGTACTCCCTTAGAAAACGGTCGCCTCCTTTCGAGACGAGCAAATGGGCGAGGTGACCAAACCACTTGACCCTGTTCCGTTGAAGTTCCTTTGAATCTCTTTCTTACGCTTGAAAGAACTCTCGGACAGTGACGGATCAATATGCTCGACAAAATAACGAGCTTCTATAAATTTTTCTCAAACAAGTACATGTGCGCGTCAAATTTATATATCTAATTTATTTTGTTACAATTTAAGTAGTTAATAATTAATTTAAGTAGTTAATAAGTTTTAGTACACATCGAGAACGACATAAAATCATGTGAAAAGCAATGTTTAGAATCTATGAGTTTTAAAAACTAGGTCGCACATACTTTCAAGTATTTGAGAACTTAAAGTTGATATCGGACAAAATATTGTTCACCGTAAATTTTCAAAAGCATTCGTTGTTACGTGCCGCACACTTTTGCGTCTCTCCCGCTACTTTCGTGTCTGTGTATTGTATCTCCGTAATAATTTCCTTGAGATTAATCTTTGCCGATAAAACTCGTGACCAAAACGCGTTTACGATTTCGTCTCGCGGTCACACAGGGTGTCCCAGGTTCCGCGCACCCCATTATGCGAATTCTCCGATCCGGTTTTTCAAGTATTCCTTTATCTTATTTTTTGTTTTGTTTAACAAAAAAGCGTCAAGGCAGCGACAACGTTTCGATCGTGAGACGATAAAAGTCCGAAAACTGTAACAAACGATAAAGGATGACGGAGCCTTTATATTCATATATTCTCGAGATTGAAAACTTTTACTTTCACAGCATTTTTATTTACGTGATTTAGATTTAACATTAGAAAGTTGTGGAAAAGGATTAAACTTTCGCTAAGGAGAAATCATCAATTGCGAATCGATCACAGGATCGGTAGATGAAAGGAAGTGGAGGCGAGCCTGGACCACTCTTACATATAAGTTTATATATATATGTATATAAATCTCTTTCGTTCTCTTTCTTTTCCGTTGCTCTCTCGACGAGACTCCTCGGACGTTTTAATGATTACAGAGAATAGAAATATGAGAACGTGTTCAAAGAAGAAAAATACTGTTACTATGTTTGGGATCAGTGTTAATGGCATCGTATCTATTTATGTCATGTTTGTCCTGTTTTTCCATATATATAAATTTCTTTCTTCCGTATGCACGGATTCCATCTACGGTTCTCCTTCATGTGTATGTGTGTGTGTGTGTGTATTTGTGCGTGTAAAATGTAACTTGTTAGTGTTCTCTTTAAGGGGTAATTATCACAGAATACACGAGATATTTTTTTTTCATTTAAGCTTACAAGATATTAATCGAAGCGGAGAGTAGGAGGAAAAATTGGCGGCCGACCCCGTCGACGATCGCGATGGCGATTTATATTTATACGATGCACGATCCGAAGTTCGTAGGTCGGAAAACGGAGAGAGTAATCGGAGATAATCGTCCGGATGTACCCGTCGACGAGGCCGATCTGAGTGCCGAATTCGCCAGCCCTTTTCGTATTCAATAATGTACTTAGTTAGGCAGCGGAGAAAATAGACACTTTACAAATGAAGATGGTAGCGAGGTCGCGGACCCGTGTTTTTCATTCCCATTTGCTCGAATTTACAACTCACGACAAATATATACACAGATGCAAGTGTTTCGGAAAAAAACAGAAACAAAAGGAAAACGGTTTTTTGAACCGTCGAAACAGCGGAATTTTGCAAGTATTTTGTGAACTGGCGGACGAAAAACTTTTTTAAGAACTTGAGCAAATTGATCTAAACTTATATAACAGATGCGAGATATTCATCTATAAATCAAATTAATGCTAATTATATTAAAATGCTAATGTCTCATAATTAGCTTCTTCATTTTCTCAAGTTTTTAATCAAGCGGACTCGACCGTTGTTGCGCAAAGGTCCTTCAATTTGTGTCACGCAATTTCGTATACTCAAATCATTCGTTCAGGGAAACACCTGCAGCTGTGAGACAATCGGATTGGTTTGGTTTTTTTTTTTGAGGGGGGGGCTTTCGTCTCTTTTTCTCTCTCTTTCGTTCCTTTCGATCGAAAATCCCGCGCTCGCAGCTACATCAGCAGTTTAGACACTATACACAATACGTAAGTATAATCTAGACGTACTACGTAGTAGAAACTTTTGAATATAATAGCGTAATCTCCGGAGTTGTGTTGTACCTGCCCGCGCTCCGCGCGGGCTGGACGATGACTTTGGATTTCATCGGAATTCGAGGTCGCGTGCGTCATTGTGTTTCTCTCACGGAGGGGATCCGACCAAAGCTTCGCGCAATCGCAAGACGTGGCGCGAAGAAGGGCGCGAACGTCTCCTCTCTTTATAAGACGACGTTCCACCCTCTCGTCTTCGTCTTCCGATACGATATAACACGTTTTCCCGATAAGAAAAATCGGCGGAGACGGTTAGACGCGTTTCTACGAACGGACGAACGCGTCCGCTATGTACAAGTACGAGATTAAGATGTACAAAGATGCGATGAAGCTAATAGACGGTAGCTGCGGTAATAGTAATAGTAGTAGTTTTTTTTTCTTTTTTGTGCGGTCTCTCAAGAGGACGTCGAGAGACGCGCCGTCTCTTCGCGCAAGAAAGCAGCGATCACTAGAGAGAGAATCAAAGCTACGGTATGATTACTTCGCGCACACGCTACGAGAGAGATTACGAACAGCGCTGTCAAAGATTTGTATCACGAGCGACGTCCGGAAAGATATACGGAGATAAGAGCTTTTCCGTGTGGTGTTATTATCTGTGACATCGGGATAATCGCTCGAATAATGATAAACAAAAAAAACAAAAACAATGTCCGCGATATATCCGGACGTGACGTCGTGATATCGACAGCGCTGTAAGGTTTACAAGAGTGTAAAGTTTAATTTTTTTTTCCTTTTTGTTTTGGAGGCTCGCTCGCTCGCTCGTAGAAAAAGGATTCGCAGCGCTTTCGGATCCGGGGGAATTGATATTACTCTGCTCTCTACGTTAAAATTACACACAAACGGGTTTTTATTTTTCCGGAGGCGTGTGGAATCTATATCGCGTGTGTCAACAATTGTGACGATCTCGCGTCGTTCTCTCGCGAGAATAACGGTTTTTTTGATAAAATGCGCGGAGCTTCCGAAGCTTTCGGGCGGATCTCGGACATATCATTCGCAACATTTAGCAAACAGCGGTTCAGCAGCAGTCAGACTCTTACGATCTCATCTCTCTCTCTCTCTCTCTCTGGTATAATCTTATACGAATAAGAACGTTACTTTACAATTACAATGCCTTACTAACTTTTTTTTCTTTTTATATTACTAACGGCACGCCGCTGAGTGACGTCACAGGGCGCGCCTATTTGGTCGTACGCAATGCTACATTTAAACTGTATATTTAGAAAAAACTTCTTCGTCAACAATTGTTTTTCACGTATCTACAGTAAACTTCGTCCTTCCGAACAAACGGTCTAGAAACGACGCGGTCGTGTTGCGTGCGCTATGTAGATGTGTGATTTGTACGTGTACGTATGTGTGAATTTTTTTTGTAGTACATATATGCAAGTGTTTCTTCGCGTACATGTCGTATGTGCTCCGACTTGGCTCTCTATTTTAGCACGTGCGGCCGCGTCGCGGTCAAGGACCAATCACACGTGGACCGTTTCTTCGTTTCTTTTCGTTTTTCTCCCTTGTCGAGGTCAGTCTTTCGGCGAACGGCGCGGCGCGTCCGTTCGAGAGAGCCCGTCGCGTATCGCGCGAAGCGAATCGTACTTCTCAGTTTTTGTTTTTTTCGCGCGCTCTGTTAATCTCTCGTCCTATATCTTACGTTACAAATATTTTTTACCAAATATATTGCGTACTGGCAGCACTGTTTACACGTTTCGCGTTTTTACGTCTCGCGAAGCACTCTCTCCTTCTTACATATATCTCTCTGTCTCTCTCTCTTTCTCTCTTTTTCTCTCTCCACTCTTTCTCCTTGCGTCTCATCATACGCGGCACTCGTACGAAGAAGAGTCTGATGTATCCTCTTTGTGTTTATTATGCATTTTGTTTTTAGCGCGTCGCTCGTCATCGTTGTTTTGTCGAGCTCCGCGCTTATACATATATATATACATATACATATATATATATATGTATATATATATATATATACATATATATCCTTCGAATTAATTTTATTAACTCGCTGAAATTAACTGGGGGTGGAAGAAACCACCTCGTTCTTCATTATTGTAGTAGTTACGCTGGACGAACGCCGAGTCACGCGGGGGTTGACCTAGCTCGTCGTCCCAACTCGAGATCTGTGGAAGATGATGGTTCCCGGGTGCATCGTCGCTGTCCTGGGACGGGGCTAAAGCTCTCGGTGTGTACGTGTGTTGTGTGTGTTATGTGTGTGATTCGTAAAAAAGGGAGAGGAAACACGTTCGACCGAACTCTGTGGCGCGAGAAATAGCCGGAGGGAGAAAATACTCCGCGATAAATCGGATCCCGTCGCTATACAGGCTCATCCCTCCTCGCGATGATTGTGTCTCGAAAGGCGGGAGGGTTCGGGCGATCGTTTTCGTCGGGCGATGCGTGTGAATAGCGCGGAAATTACTATATCTCTTCGCGTGTCCCTCGCGCGGAATTTAGTCGTGAAAGGTTTCGTTCGCTCGTGGCACCAAAGGCATCAAACGTTAAAACCCCTTTGGACGGCCTCCTGCTTCTCCTTTTCCTTCTTCTTCTTTTTCTCCTCTGCTTCGGGCTCTTTCCAAGCTCGAAGTGCTCGTAACGCTTCGCTGTCGGCTTATTAACGCGGCGTCGTGTCTCCTCAGGTGGGATTCGGCAGCGGTGTCTCTTGCCTGATATCGCTCTTCAGCTTCACGAACTCCTTGGCGATCTCGTCGTTGTTGCGCTGCGAGAGAATGCGCAGGATCGTCCAGCCGGTCTCGTCCATCTGGATGCGCTTGCCGAGCGACAACCAGCACGCGCACGAGCCTTCCTCGACGATATCCTTCAGCTGCATTACCGCGACCCCAACGAGTCTGTCCTCCCTCGCGAAGCAATAGTCCTTCACGCAGATGTGCAACTCGTAGAAGTCCAGTTGTTGTTGCTCGTTACCGATCATACTGAAAATTAAATTAAGACAAGGATATCAGTAAATTTGCAAATATTAATTATAAAAAAATGTAAGTGTGTGACTTACAAGTCGAAGCTCTCGTTGAATTGCGGCGACCAATTGTTGCTCTTCGATTTCGTCGATTGTTTCCTCTTCTTGCCGGTGAGGTGAGGACCAATTAGGTTCACCTCAACGTACGGCCTGAACATACCCGTGGCCAATTGCCACTTCAAGTCGTTCGCTGCCACAACTAGAAGATTATGAGAATTGTTAGTTAAAATATCGATGAAAATATCATGTCGTCAAAGTTAGTGTTTTCAATTGTCGAGATTTTACAAAAACTTTTTTCAAAAAACAATCGTAAACATTACCTTTGACCGTAACTTTCTGCTCGCCCGTTCCCGGATGCGTAAACAGATCCACTTGAATACTGACCTCGCCCACCGAACCCTCATCCGAACCGGCGGTATCTGGAACTTCACGAGTACGCAGTCAGAATTTTAAGCTCGAGCACAATGCCGTGAAGCTAGAGTGGCATCTAAACACTACGCGGACTTCGTCTGATTCTATCTGATGCTATGATCTGAGAGAGACTAAGAGGTCTAAGATCTATTCTCTGTCACTATTTCTAGAGCAGATTACATGCTCCGACAATAGGCACGGATACTTGTCAATTTCTTCCCCGAGTAATTATCAGAGAAGACGAAGTCGGCTTTTGCGAAATTTTCACGTGTCAATCACGTATGCGTCAAGAATAAAACTTTTGGTTTTATCGATTTGATTGTAAAAAAAGAAAAAAAACATTTTCGGTATTCGGAAAGTTTCAGTGAGACGATCTCCGAAGAGTTTCTAGTGCGTATAATACAGGTGTCCATGATGTGCAATCAATCAATCGATTGATCAATCGACCTGTGAATCCTTTATTCGTTTCCTTCGAATCCTTGTTGTGAAAACAAAGTGGAATAGCGCTAGGCAATGAGTAAATATGCTTAAGTATTGCAAAGTCTCTTTGATATACAATGTGTGTGTATGTGTGTACATGTTGATGAGTATCGAAAGCATAGTGTCAAGAAATATGAGATCAAAAGAGGCACTTTAAGTTCTCAGTAGTAGCAGCAAGAGTGGCGGCAAGTAGCAGCAGCGGCAGTGATAACAGCACAGCTTCCTAACACAGCCGTCGATTGTGTCAAGACATCTTTTCGTTTCGAATAAAAAAAAAAAAAAAAAACACAAATAGATATTCTATTTGTAACTGAACGAATATTAAAATCGAAATGTCAAAAATACATGTTCAGAACAATGAAATCAAAAGATGTCTCGACGCATCGACGCAGTTTCACTACATCCTAAAAAATCTCTCCACTCGTCCTGTGACTTTCTAAGGTTCTGCTCTGGCGATACCTTGTCGGCTCTCCCGACGAAGAGAGGGCTTGCTCTGGCGAAGGGGTTCCTCGAGGCTTTCCATACCCTCGGCTCCTTCCCCTTCGTCACCTCTCTCGCTGCTCATCGAACGCTGACGATGACGTAGCGTTGATGCATCGTTCAGCGGCACTGTCCCGACAATTTTCATTACGTCGTAATGTGAGTGTGTAAAGATGTATTAAATGTCGAAATGTACCGCCTCACATATTCGCGACGGTTATGCGACGGTACGTTTAACGTAATGTTTCGTTAAAACATTAGACCATTCGTGTTTAGCTCGTGTGTGTGTTTCTTTGAGTATTTTCACATTTACGATATTTAGCGCAAAAAACACATACAAAAATAATAATCTTTATCAGTACGGCTTACGTATGTACCGCAAACAATAAACTCGAAAGCGACGTACCTTGGTTGACTTGTGAGGTGACGAAAGTTTTGATGAGAGTGTCCGTGGTTTGCGTGTACAAACTTAGCGCGTAACGAAGGCTCTGCAATTCCGGCGATTTCTCCAGGAATGTCTTTTTCAAGCCGTTGCCGCCAGCGTGGAAGTACTGTTTGATCGTGTCCAAAGCGACGTCGAGAACCGCGCACTGCTTCGGCGAAAGATTCTTTTCCACTTCTTTGGAAATATCCTGTGAGATGAGATAAATAGCGTTGAATTTAATTAGCGTGTCGAATTCGATATTGTGTGCTTAAGTAAGTTGTTTGTCATGAGGTTAATTACCATAACACCGCTGAGAGCATTTTTCACATCGGGTTTCCCAGCCATGTGGTTCTTAAACAGCTTCGACATGTCTTCTATCTTGGCGTTCGCAGCGAGATTCTTGGCGTTATCCGTCAAATTCTTGAACATCATCTGTGCGAAAAACAAAGAATTTATATAAATAATATATGTTCAATTGGTATTTTATTAAGTTGAAAATTTATTTAAAACGTAATCAACTTACGCTTCTATCCGTCATAGGTGGTAGAACGACGGTTTTCTCTAGAATTCTCATGACTATCTTCCATAGTTCTTTCAACAGTCTCTTCAATACCGTTTTCTCGCACGACTCTGCGTATAGAGATAGGCTACCGTCGAGTAGAACCATGAGCGGTCTCAAAACGTCGTCGGCTTCTGCGGTTACGTTGTTCCTTTGTGCTGGCTGTGACAGAGTTACCTGTCCTCCGCCTTTGATAGCCAACAACAGATCTCCTAGCTCTTTGACGGACTGCGTTATTCGCGGTTCAAGACTGTTTGCGAATTGCATAGCCAATTCGTCGAGAGCGCTGTTTAGTTGTTGCTGTAGCTCCTTTAATATATTCGCCGCGTCTTCTTCGAGCTTGTCGCCGCCCATCGATTCGAACATCTTCTCCAATTGCACCCGAAGTTGTTGGATGTTGTTCATGAGAATACAAGCCTGTGAAATGATAAATAATAATGAAAGTCGGTCGATGCCGCGTGATCTTCGCAGAATTTCTTTTTTTTTTTTTTTTTTTTATTACGCACAATGCGCTCCTCTTTCAGATGACTTGGGAATTCCTTCTTTACGATATCCGCATACGCCACCAAAACCTTCACTATGGTCTTCGCGAATCTCTTCATGTATCTCTTCCAGATCTCCGGGTCCGGACATTCGAGCTTTGACACCACGTCGAAGCATTGTGTCAGCTGCGTGAAGACATCGACGACGGATACGCTGAAGAGCACGTGTTCGCTGCTCTTTTGGAACTGTATAAAAAAAATTTGAATAGCCATTAAGAAATACTCTGTGCCGTAAGGAATACCGTATCATGATTAATGAACAATAGTGCCACTTACGCCTTCCTTTTTATCTCTACTAAAGGCACCGTGGAGATACTCCAACGAGACGTCGTCGTTCTCGTTGAGCCATTGCATGACGAAGGGCTCGAACCAAGCCGGATATTCCGGCACGGCGCCCTTATACGGCGGCACGTCCTTGACGTAATTGGCGTGCAGCCACTTGACCTTAAAGTGCAGGTTCATATAGGCCGAGGATTTACATCGTCTATGCTGCTCGTGCTCCTCCAGGGCATACTTCATGTCCACTGCGAACATGGACCAAATAGTGGCCGCCGACAGTTGACCGATGTTCAACTCCTGGGGGAATTGATTCAGCACGGGCGCATAGCTGTTCTTGTCCTCCTCGATCACCGAGACTATCAGAGCGATCAGCTTGTGCCAAAAATCGAGCGAGTCAAGCGACGGTCCGTGATCGTCCGCGTCTCGCTTCGCCTCATTTGGATCCGCTTGGAACTCCCGATTGTACAGATCGTAACAGTTCTCGAAGAGAAACTGATAAGTTGATCGCAGACACGCCTTCACGCAGTCCTTCACGACGGTGCTAGCGCGCGGCGGGCTCGACAATTCCTGGACCTTCATACGGAAGAACGTGATGCTCGTCAACAGGTCCACGGTGCTCTTCAGATCCATCAACTTTTCCTGGCTCGAGGCTGGGAAGTTGTTTCTATACATCGACAGGTCGATCCTGAGGGAGTTGTGCAGCTGGTCCAGGAGCTTAACGAATTTTTCTTTCTAAAAATAAAATCCAATCAATATTTACGGTGAGAGGACGAATATATATATTTTCTTCCTTTGTGATATATATATATAATTATTCTCCGCTAAAATGTAATTCTCACTTTTTCTTTCGTCGTTGAGATTTTATTTTATCTCGTGAGCTTTTTATCAATGCAATAGTTAATGCACGTCCCGCTAAAAGGCTCTCTTATCGAGTTTTTCATTCTGTCGTCTCGGTTCGCTCGAAGACTTGAAACCGCAACGAATTTCGTCGGCGAAAGTTTCACGTAATATTTTCGAAGGAGAATATCATACATAATTCATGAATATAAAAAACACTCCCCGTACACCGGTTTTTTCTTCCTGAATTAGAGGATTCGCGAATTTAAATTTCGCACGAAATTTCAGCCCACATGTGTCGTTTTTACGATAAACGAGAGAACGTCGAGAGAGTCGCACGGAGAAGAACTGATGATAAAATTTTTCGAGGGAAAGAGAAATACTCTTGTTTAGTGTGTAACATGCGCAGTGATCTAAGTGACAATCGATTTGGGTGGAGCTCGAGCGTCTATCCTCTACTTTCCTCTATCAGGTCTAATGAAATGATGAAAAAGCAGAGGGTAACTCGCAAGCTTAGGTTTGAGTGGTTTTGAGCCGGGACTTGTATCCCATACACACACACACACACAAACACACTGACGATTGTCGGTTCGATACTTGTTGGTAGGCAGCTATTTTATGATACAAAAAATCTAGACATACGACACGTATCGTCAAGAGACAGCACAAAGGCACGCGAGGAAAATTTCCATATTTCTTATAAGGCAGAGAAAAATTCATTCGCTCGGCTTTGCGGTGGTTACCATGAGAGTGAAATTCAGATAATGACGGACCAAAAGAAAATCTTAATTAAAATCTTAAATAACTAGCCTAGCACGTACAGTCTTTTCTGTTAGTGCGTCCTCTTTTTTCTCGAAGGAAATATTTAGATCACAAAAAAAAATAAAATATAATATATTCATATAAACATACCGCACGATCTTGATTCAAATATGAATTTGTAATGTGTGAAATTAACAAGATTTTTTAAAACATCTCTTTATAAGGGTACTTTTTATTTCTCGAAATTTCTGACAAAAGGTCAGATTTCTGTGGCAGATTAGAGAAAATCCGATCAAATCTGCCAAACGCTCGAGAGTAAGACCTTATTCAAAGTAAAACTCGGCGGCGACGTGGATTAATCCCTTTCGAAAGTTTGTGAAGTGATTATTTAAATATTCGCGTCAGCTGATCCCTCGTTCGTGACCCGGCGAGAGGATGTAATTGATAGGAGATGAAAATCGCGTCTTTGGCGCAAGTCAACCTGCAGAGATATGGAAAGCAGTTCGGGATAACGGATGGCGCTCTGGTTGGCTCCAGGAAATTGCAAGAGTATTTCTTACCCCCTCACCACCGGGTCTCAGCATCCGCCATCTCTCACTCTTCCGCTCATTCGCCCTAACATGTTCAGTAAAACGACGCCACCATTCAATGGCAGCCTTCAACGTTCAGTACTTACTCCAAAGTTACTGGCGGCGAATCTATCACTGGCCGACACACTCGGACTCGCGGTCGTATGGGCGTAGTACGCGTTTATATTCGCCAAGAGGGTCGACATAACCGCCGGTACGCCTGGACACAGGTACTTGGTTGAGAGGCAGTGGAAGTGCCTGAAAAAAAAAGTGAATTTGGTTCACGATGCGGAATCACATCGTATTAAAACTTTTCGCATCCTGAAACAAGTTAAAAAATAAATAGATGATAAGATTAAATATATTAAAAGAAGATTCTGGTCTAAAGCGCCGGAAATAAAATAATTTTAGAATTTTTTTCAACAAAAAAATGATGACGGCACTCACGTCATCGCCTGGTAGATACTCTCAATGCCGTATCGCATGGCAAACTCGTCGACGAGCTCCTCGCCAGGAGGATCAAAGTAGACCTTCCAGGATTCGTCGCCCTGCGCCTCGGGCAGCTTAACCATACCGCCGTTCTCCTCGCACAGACTGTGGAAGAGATTTTCGTGCAGGCAGGTGTACTGCACGTGGTAAGGTGCTACTTTTTCCTCGCCTTTGATCTCGACGCTTATGTGTAACCGAATAGAGCCTGACACCGCGCTCTTATCCGTCCTCTTTTCCAAATTGTACCAGACATCCATCTCGCCGCTGAGAGTCCGCACCTCGATGATGGTCTGTCCGAGAAAGTCGTCGCTCTCCCGCGTCAACTTTTGCCTCAGCTTCGACTTCAGATCGTTGTCCTCGTCCCACACTCGGACCTTGATCCGATCGGATGAGTTGTGGCACTCGCTGCACATAAGTTTTCGTAACGTTCATGACAAAGAAACATTTTTATTTTCGACGTTTGCATTTTTAACAATAACGTGTGACAAATGTGAACACACGTGAGCAGACAATTGATGCGTTATCGCGCGAGAAAACGGAGAATTTACGATTTAAAATTTGAGAATCTTGCAAATTCCGCGCGAACACAATTGAAAAACTTGCCGAAATTACTTACAAGTAGAACTTCTCGTGCCAGACTGGATTCAACTCCCGCGGCATGGTCCTCGTACGTTTCTTTACTTTGCCAACTTGGACCGTCACGTACGGATCAGATGTGCCGCTCTTGTCTTTGGCAATTAATCCCTGGGCGCTGATCACTAAAGAACGAAAGAGGAATATTAAGGCCTGTGTGTTCTTTACCGAACGGCGAATGCCTAGAATGCGCGATGAAATATTTGAAAATCCCGAAAAGGCGTTCGATTCTCGCGGGCACGAACGTAAATTTCTAACTTCGCGCGGTAAACATAACACAATTACCGGACAATACCGTTGAAAGAGAAAAGGCCAAAGTTTGCCAGCTGGCTACTGTCCAAGAACACAACTGCGAGAGATAATTCAATAAAGACAAACAAAATCGAATATCCGCCGGAACATCTGTTCGCATCGTAACGCAGAAACCAAAAAAAAAAAAAAAAGCAACGTCGTGAATTTGTATTTCCATTTCCAATCCGCATGAACGCGTCGCGAAATCGACGAAATCACCGACCGATTTTCGCGCATTTTTGCGAAATCGTGTGATTTCTTCTCCTCGTGTGACGGCACGCGAAAGAGAATCGTGACGAGGGGAGCAATAAAATCGTCGTCGTATAAAATGTCGAAATCGCGTGATTTAACGCGGAGACCAACGTCGTGAGACGTTTTCTACAGAGATAAGACGTATTCTCCTCGCGAATCGAATACTTAAAGAAAAACTATGTCGATAAACACGGTCGGGAATGCCGATCATCTATCTTCTACGGTGGATTATCGTAATCGGTCGGGTCGACCGAGTATCCGGATAATTGGCCACAAACGCGCGATTACGGATTTCAAAACCAAGCGCGCGTCGTCGCACAAAGCAATAAAATTTTACTGTCCCGCTTGATTTCGATTTCGAGCGACGTATGCGTATTTCATTCGTATTCTCATCCCATTGCCGCTTAATCCATCTTTACGCCCCGACAATTTTGCCTCTATGCAGTATTTACGAGAAATAATCCGCACGGAATAACTGAAAAGTGAACCACTGCAATTTCAAGTGATTTTGCTACTGTAACGCAAAAAATTGCGTAACTAATTTTTTCTCTTTATCCGCAATGTATATTTATTATTTAGAGACTTTGACACACTTTTCGAGAGAGGAAGACTCGCATTTATTTATCGACGATGTATGAAATTTACAAGTCTTCTGAAATTTTTATGCCGGATATTTTCACAGAGCGCTGATATAATTTTTTATTTAAAAAATAGACAGCGAGTTCTATTTGAAAAAGAAAAAAAAACACTTGTATATATTTATTTGTTCTGTCATTTTTCACCATGATGAAATTGCTCAGTACTTTCCGCAAAACTTCAAACTTGCAAAACAAAAAAAAAAAAAAACAATCGAGTTTATTTCACCGGAGAACAAACTCGCGGTCACAGTCAGTATTTTTTAGAACGTCAAGATATACACGAATAACATAATAATTAATAAACGTGCGTGCAATCGAATAAATTGATCGATGCTCTCTCGCACACAGTTGACATCCATGTGTATTTTCAATAATATGGAAAATATGTATAAATTCGCGATCGCGAAACGAGAAGATATTTTTTCAATCGACAGTTCGTTGTGTAAATATAATTATTACATATACGTCGTGAGAAGAGAGTGCATGCAAAGGTTCAGCACATCCATCTGGATTGGACACTCGATATCCATTGTAGGCAGCTATCGTAAAAGCGTGCATAAGCTCGGCGTGAATATCATGTATATATATCGTAATAATGTACGCGTATGTACGGGTACGTATATTATATGCGATACATACAGACACGTAAAATCACAAACATAAAAGGGAATATTCAACGTCAATAAACGAGGAGATATATATATATATATATATATGTGTGTATATATTAACGTGCTGTTCGAGTTGGATCGACGGACAGACACACATGCCCATGCTACTAACTCTTTCCGATTCGTATCGCCGAATTGCAGTGGAGAAGACGATCGCCGATGCTTCCTGCCGTCGACGAATGTCGATTTCATACCTAATCTCATTAATCATCGAGTCATCGCCACAATCCACTTCGTGAGAGATGTCAAGAGTCTCGGACGCGCGCCGCAAACGCGCGCGTCCGTATGTTTCTGTGTACGTGTGCGTCTGTACGTGTACGTGTGAGACTGTATAGGTATGTTGTAATTTACGCATTTACCAACTGCGTCATGTACATCACGCGCAACGTGTGTACTCTACGTTCGACGGGAGAGAGGGATGACTTCATTATCAATTTAACAATCAACGACGCGAAGATTATTGCGCTCGGCGACGCACAATTGCTTAATTTAATATCGTCGGTTTCACGCGCGTCGAGATTTCAACGTCAATTTGTAATTTGTGTATTACGCGCGCGTTCAGTTCTCGTTCGCGAGTTCGATGCATTTAAGAAAGAATAAGGCTGCGTATAATGTAATAAATCGTTCGCAGAGAAAAACGCTCGCGCAATTGAAATCGAACGTTTTGTATATAAAGTCATACATACGAATCCATTACGAATGCAAGTGATTTATTGAACGTCGAAAGGTGTTCTCGTTGTTGCGCGATTTGCAATATATATGAACCGAATGGATGTGCGTTATGAATGTTATACGATCGCGCACGTTTTGCGTGATCGGTTGTGTGATGTTGCAAATTTAATTCCAAATAAATATTGAAAACACTCCCCGAGGGAGGACACAAGTTAGACGTATAGTATACATTAATGTCACATGTGTTTTAACGCTTGTGATTTCAAGAAAAAAAAAACAACAAAACATCCCGCGCGACTATCGAAATTATCATCGATATCGAACGGTACAATTTCCCGCTCGCGTGTGCGTTTTATGAGGTTGATTGTTATCAACGCGCGATATCGATTCGACGTGTTAAGCAGCGCGCGCTAACGCGCGTGAGAGTCCAATCTCCGCGTGTGCGAACACGCTCGCGCCGCTAATTTAACGTAGGTAGGTAGGTAGGTAGGGTAGGTGGCACACAGAGACTACTTTATGCGCGGTCGCGCCATTCATTTTTAATTGATCACACTGCGGCGATACGTGTGCTGCGACGATTATGTGCCGTATCGCGCGCGACACACTACGCTTTTTATTATCTGACCCGCAAAAAGGGAGATTGCACCGGGAATACGAGCAATACGATTCGCTCATTTTTCTCTCTCTTCCCTCTTCGAGCCCCCATCGTGCCGCAATCTGCAGTCCGGATCTCGGTGGATGGCAGCTATTTTAATTTGCGCCACCGAGTCAAGAGATTTGATTACTAGGGCGGAAAAGGAAGCAGTGCCGACTGTTGCCCGCGCATCACCTCTGTCGCCAACTCCGCGTCCCTATCTCTTATTTCCGTCGATTTCCTCCCTTATCTCGTCCATGTGACGACCAACTCTCTTTCTCTGAGAGAAAGATAGAAGCGGCCAGTCAAAATCAGATTATTCTATTCAAACCGTGCGTGGCAACACGACGAGGAAATCAAAATAGGATATTTCCGTGCGCGCACGGAGAAGAATAATTAAATAATCCGATTTTATACTTTCGCATGTGTGCGTTCGAACTTTGACCTTTTGATTTTAATCGTTTAAACCAGACTCTCTCCCGTGAGTTCTTCTGTATAAGAAAAACGTTCAAGTGCACTTAAGCATAAACAGTTTCTTGCAGCAAGTCGATGTTGCGTAATTTCTTGTTTTTCCTCTCTTTTGATGTGTAATTCTCGATTAACTAACGTAAACAGTTTCGAGCAGAACAGGCCGAGAAATCGAGTCGACCGACAAACGGCTTGACACAACGGCGGTTGACGATTTCTCGACCGTAGTCACTTCGTCCGAGAAATTGTCTCAATTTTCTTCTTCTGCTTCTCTTCTGATTATTTAAGCTTGCCGCTTCCACCGAGACGGTATAAAAAACCATGCGCGACGAAAGGAAACGACGGAAGAGATAAAACGCTTAAAAAGGAGAAGAGACGCTGTCTAAAGCAGACCATTTTGCTGATTTTCTTTTTATTTTTTTTTAATGCAGCGCCCTATTTACTTATCTATACGTTTTCGTCCGGGCACAACCGTTACCTCTCTTTTTTTTTTCACATACCTCCGACCTCCTTTTTTTCTCGGCCCCGCTACTTCCGCTGTTAGCGGCGAACGCCGGCAAAAGCGCCGTTGGATACCCGCGGCAGCTTTTTGAGGAGCGAAAAAAAAAAGTACCATTGCAGTTTGCTGTGCTCAGTGTGCTTATCGACTTTTCCGCACGGGAATAACGTGCCGCGCGCGCAAATATCGCCTCCGTCCTCATCCGCCTTTCTGGCTGATTATAAATAATTTAGCGCCATCTCTCTCTCCGTCTCTCCAACATTACGCTAAGTGCATAAAATGCAGCTTACGTTAAATTTAACAGAGAATTCTCGTTTCAGATTCATATCTCTCCTCCGTCTGCGCTCTGTGCCCTTTATTCAGCGTTTTTCTTTTTTTTTTTTTTTTTGCTTTTTATTCAGTTTCGTTTTGAAGAAACATCACACAGTACATCCTCACGGTTTTATCTCGTTGTATTGTTATTGAAATGTAAAACTGCAAACGCGAATATATATCTATATATAAAGATGATATAAAATTCTACCGTTCCCGAAAACGTAACGTTCGGCTATGAGCGTCTCGACGTGCTTTGGTTATTTAAAAGACAACCGAGAGAGCCGCGCGGGAAAGTTTTCTTTCGCGAACGGAAGTCTATTTCTTTCTCTCAACCCGGCCGGCGCTAGATATGCACGAATTCCCGCAGTGGGAATGCGGGCAAGACTGCGGGGAAGAAAAAGAGAGACTGATTCCTTCCTTCATTCGCGCGGATTTCGCACTCGGGAATGACGAAAGAGAGAAAATCGAATCCCATTGGACTTTTCTTCTCGTCGAGTTCTCCGACGTTTTCGGCGCGACCTGACAAGCGCGATCGTCGTATTCTCTCAATCGCGTTCTTATTATTGGCGTCAATTCCCGAACACGTCCGGGCTTTTCGCGTTCGCATATATACTCGAACCATTTTATTAGCTGAGAAAAATAACCGAGATTTAACGAAGTTTATTTCTTGCGCGCGCGCAAAACA